GTCATTCCAGTCCGTTGCCGTTCGTGGGCAATCGAGCGTTCAGTGTTCACCAACTGAATATACTAAGTAATTAAATAATTAAAGGTATAGAGAGGTGTCACTTCTCCAGCTGCGACTTCAGCTGTATTTAAACATTCACACAGTTGCACAGCGAGTTGCATTACAGCAACAACACCTGCTTTACGGCAGCTACGGTCACGTAACGCACAAAGAGAAACAGGAAGTCTTATAGCACACGTTGGTGCGATGATATAGAGTGAAAAAGATTAACTTGCTAATAACCAAAATGAAGTTTCATGGAAGGAGAAGACTTCAGAGAGCTGATGGCGGTTTGTCGAGCCGGAGTACACGCCACCATCACGGAGAACAAAGACTAAAAGAGAGGAAACGATGCAGCAGAAATGTTCAGAACAGTAAAGTGTTTGTTACTACAGATTCGAGGACGGCTCTCACCGCGGACTCAGATGGAACGCTGTCCGTCAGATGACACACCGCAGGAAACATAGCGGGCTATCAGGAGGTCTGCGTCTGAAGTTTTTTTTACAAAAACATAAGTGAGTACTGGAATATTTAGATTTCTGTGAGAGACCATCCCTAGATCGAATACAGATGAAATAAGTTCAGGATGATGCACAGCTGATGTTCAGCCAATCGATGTATTGATCCAGATCGATGGATCGTTTCAGCGCTAGTCTGGATTCTGCGGAGAGATACAGATAAATGTTTGGAGAGAGGGACAGACGAGATTAAAGACGAAGAATGTGACTGGGACGCACTCACACTAGGCAGTTATCCACGTCCCCCGCTGGCGTGCACTCACATTGTCGGGCCTGAGTATGGTTACCTCTTGTACAAACATTATCTCTGAATATTTGCATCTGCCCAAATTTAGAGCAAACAGACCTTGCATCGATTAGGCTATATGTCATGTCCACGTCGTGTACCTGTGCAGGAGAAACTGTACCGTGCCGCAGCCCGCCTCTTACAACCGTGCCAGGATAGAGGAAGTGTACCTTGAGTAACATAAACAAACCTTTGGGGGGTCAACCTGCTTCGGCACAAAACGGATTAACTAGTGTGAGTGTGCCGACAAAGAAGAGAGGAAGAATGAAGTGTGATAAACCAGAATTAAACAGAAAGAGAGAGATGAGGAGGAGGAGGAAGAGGAGGAGGAGGAAGAGGAGGAAAAGGAGGAGGAGGAGGAGGAGGAGGAGGGCTACACAGCTGGGTGACCTAGATGTTTGAGGGGAGAGAACACAACAAGCTTTCACAACGCATGACGTTACTCTTTTTCCTCTGAGCACTGTGTTTCAGTCTGCGTGTGTGTGTGTGTGATGTCATCCCTCTCTGCCGGGTCCTATCTGTACTACAATCGCCGCAGGGTGCTCCGTCGTTCCAAAACAGACAGACACACGCAAAAACCTGCAGCACACCCACACACACACACACACACACACACACACACACACACACACACACACACACACACACACACACACACACACACACACACACACACACACACACACACACACACACACACACACACACACACACACACAACAACATAAAACACACACACACATTTATCTCCACATCAGTGCAGACAACGACACACATGTGCTCCTGTGAAGGTGGGCGTGTCTGTCCCAAAACAAACCAAGAAAAAAACACAGAAATAAACTTCAGGTGAGCGAGTTTATTCACCTGAAACCACAAACACAGATAAAGGCTGACAACTGTCAGAGAGAGAAGGGTTAAACAACAGGTGTGTGTGTGAGAGTGTGTGTTAGGTGTAGTACGTACCCTAAGATGCCCTTGCCCGCCCTCGGGGGGCTTGGCGGTTTCTGTGTGGGGGGGTTAGACCTGGACAGAGATCCTCCTAGTTTTGTGTTCTGCTGACCGTTCACCTGCAAAGAACAAACAACAGGTGAGTCCTAAACGTATAAATCACTGATTTTGTTTTGCTAACATGAATACTGTCAGGTTTGTATTAATTAATAATTAATTAATGTGTATGAATTAAAAACCTGACATCAGGTTAAAGCCGAGGAAGGAAACTCTGGAGGAAGGAGCAAAAGGAAGCTTCACTTAGAAAGAATTCATCGCACAATAGTATGCAGTTCCTCCTCGGCTAAGGTGCAGCATTCAAGACAATATAAACAATTATAACAAAAACATCAAATTTAGGGGGGGAAGAGGAATAACTTAAAACCCTTTATACGTTTGTCTTTTTTTTTATTGTTATTTTCTGCACAAACAACTTAGATTGCCAACTTCCTTGAGACGTGCATTGTTGTGGGAAATGAATGATGTGTGTGGTCTCACATCTCGTCCTAAACCACATCGTGTGTTTGTGTTTGTTTAGTCTGCAGACTCGCTGGTTACTTGTGTAAGCTGCAGACAACAAACACTTTAGGACCTCCAATCAGAAGATCAACAGTTGTGTAACCAGGTCGGTGCAACACTCTGACAGCTAAGGATGTTTCCAGATGACTATTTCCCAAACGGTTAAACGGAAAAAGTACTTTGAGACTAACCGACTAACACTCAGAAAACAGCACAGAGTATTTCAAATTGTCTGAAGGTAAATAATGTAATTTGACTGCAGGGTGTTGCTAACAGCAGCGCTAGCACCTCCAGCCTTCAGTACGCCCTGCAGGTTAACGTCCATGTGTTGTTCTTGTCTTTTGTGCAGGTGTGTTGTGCGTCCTTACCTTGAACCTCAACAACCACTAAACACGTCAGTGAAAGCAAAGGAGAGAGGAGAGAGAAGACAGTGTGCAGGTTAGTGTCAGAGCAGCAGAACATCCAGAAACTTGAAGAGAGTTCAGAGACAGAGGATGAGATAAATAAAGCTCAGACTGTGACAAACTAAACGTCAAGTTGCTCCTGAATAAATCCCAACAGAGAAGCACATTAAGCGCTCGCAGCGTGAATCTGCACGCTGCACAAACTTAATAAAGCCCAAAGACTACAAACTCTCAGCAGTGCACACAGACGTGCAGGATTAGAGTATGAGAGTTGCAATCTCTCTGTGTCTAAATTAGCTTTTTTTGTCCACCTGGCCATTTTTCCTGAGTGCCAGCTTCTCTTTTCACTTGTTTTCAACGAGGAGAGAGAGTTTTCACGAGCAGACGGGCGCCCGGGAGAAAAGACGCAGCGCCCAACGTCCTTTTTCCAAGCACTCCACCTTTTTTTGCGCGGCCTCTCCGAGCGCTTCCAGTTGAAACTCTTTCAATTTAGGAGTGTGCTCTTGACGTCACCGGCGCTCTTTTCAAAATGATTTTACATTCTCGTATTTTTGTCTCTTAAGGATGATGTCGTGTACCCACATCCTCCTCGCTCCGTGTCTGATCGGAGCCGTGACAGCGAGGCCGTCATTATTATTAAGCTCATCATCCAGACAAAGGAGGAGGACAAACATCCTCCGTTTGATGCTCAGAGTGAAGGAAATAAACAATCTCAAATATAGATTGTCAAGAGACTGTTGTCATAGAGACGCACACACAGTGCTTTATTCTCAGCACACAGGCACAGAAAGTGCTTCTCTGCCCGAAGAACACGTCAGGTGGACACAGGGCCTTAGCTGGTGACATTGATATTTAAATATTTCAGCAAGAAAAAAACATTTCTAATCAACGATATATTTTTATTTTTATTCCCACCTTGACTCCATGTCCAATGTCGTCCAGCACGCTGTAGTCGATGGGTTTCCTGATGTAGCGTACAGGCCTCTCTGGATTGGGCGGAGCAACGATCTTATGGGAGCGAGTCGTGTTCTTGTTGGTGGTCAAGATACCGATCTCTCGCCTCGCCACCTTCTCTTTGTGGATATCGACAGTCTGAAAGCAGAAAGACACAGGGAATTCAGCGTCTCCCACAAGTTTTATTACTAAATGAGCTACGTTATTTTAATGACTGATAGCTTTGAAAAGTACTGAAGCTTTAAAGGAGCAGTATGTAACTATGACTCCCCAGTGTTTAAAATGGGTACTGCAGTCTAAATTCTAAACATTGTAGAGAGCTGTCTCCCCCCGTCCCCTCCTCTCTATAGTTGATGCTCACGCAGGTTGCCATGTGGTGGACACTGAAGCTTCAGTGTTTATCCAGCTCTTCATCGGTCTGTAAACCTTTCTGCGTTCTAACCGCTCTCCATTTTTCAAAAGCATCTCCAATATTGATCCTAGTTTCAGCACGTTTCTGCTCGTGGAGCTTATTAGAAACATGCAGAGGCTTTTTAGGTCGGGTACAATCACTTCTATCTGAACCAGTTCTCTTGCCCGCTTCCATCACTGCAACACCTGTTGGTTTGACCTGATAACTGCTCTCATATCTGGCAAACCGAGGGGCGTCCAAAACAGCTGTGTGGGGGTCACCTTAAAACCGCCTACCTTCTCTGGTCCAAACAAATCCAGAGCATTCAGGACCAGAATCTAAAGTTAGGACATACTGGCTGCTGCATTGTTGTTAGAGAGCAGGAGTTCGCCTGCATCTTTGAGTAAATAAACAAAGAACTTTTCCAATATTGGGCATCCAGGACTTCTATATTTGTTGCAGGTTTTGATATCGTTAGATTTTTATTAGAATCATATTAAACGTTTACATTTCTGGTCTCCTGACCCGGCTTGATTTATTCTTCTTCAGACAGAACTACTCTCTGTTCACTGCAGCGTGAAATACAGAATTAGTTATCAAGGATGATTTCAGAGGGATCGTTTCAGAACGGATCATCACAGCACCAAGCAGTCGCCTACAGAACAGATGAGAATGAACAGGAAGCACTAATTATGGCGTGTAATCACAGATCAGGCCTCACAGCAGAGCAGACAGAGAAGCATGTCATTATTTCATATTATTCTGATCATTAAGGAGGGAGAGAAAGAGCCTCTGTACCCTCTCAAACTAAAGATGTGTTGCTCCCTCTGTGTGGAGAGACTGGGTTTGTTTTATGAATGAAAACTCTTCTTTTCCTTCAGCTGGAGTTTAAATAATGAATG